CGGGGATCTGGACAATCCCTCTGGACAACCCCCCTTGGCTTGGACAAGCCTCCCCAGGATGTTCCTTCCACAAGAAGCAGTTTGCCGTGGCGGCGGCAGGCAGCGCTAATACAGGCTGGCTCGGGCTGCACATCGTCTGGGCGACGGGCAAGGGCGAGCGACATCCCCACGACTGATACTTATCAGCAACACCGCTTGATTGACATCTGTGCAGCTTCTCTCTTACTCCATGCGGCGGCGACGCGTGGCCGCGGTGACGACGGCGTCCTCTGCTCGTGCCGCAAGCGACAGAGCAGCCCGTGTAACGTCGTCGTCGTCGTCGTCGTCGTCGTCGCCGCCGCCGCCGCCGTCGTCGCCGTCGTCGTCGTCGTCGTCGCCGTCGCCGTCGCCGTCGTCATCGTCGTCGTCGCCGTCGTCGCCGTCGTCGTCGTCGTCGTCGCCGTCGTCGCCGTCGCCGTCGCCGTCGCCCTCGCCGTCGTCGCCCTCGCCGCCCCGGGGCCGGGCGGCGCACGCCCGCCTGGAGAGGGCGGGCCGCCTGGCGAGCTCGAGCTCCTCGGCCGCGGCGCGGGCGTCCTCCGCGCGGCGCGCGGGCCGGGCGCCGCGCGGGGGTCGCGGCCCTTCTGCGAAGGCCCCCCGCGCGGGGCCCTCCCCCTCCTTCCTCCTCCTCCTCCTCCTCCTCCTGCTCCTCCTGCTGCTGCTGCTGCTGCTGCTGCTGCTGCTCCTCCTCCTGCTGCTCCTCCTGCTGCTCCTCCTGCTCCTGCTCCTGCTCCTCCTCCTCCTCCTCCTCCTCCTCCCCCCTCCTCCTCCTCCTCCTCCTCCTCCTCCTCCTCCTCCTGCTCCTGCTCCTGCTCCTGCCCCTCTCTGGGCTGCACGCGAGATCGGCCCTGGGTAAGAGGGACCTTCCAGAGGCCTCCTGGATGGGGTCGGGTGGTCGGAGGATCGCGCCGCATCGCCGATGCATCGGCGATGCATCGGCGATGCGCCGGCGATGATGCATCGCTGACGTCAGCGATGCATCGGCGACGTCGACGGGAAGCAGATCAGGCTGCACATCGAGCCGCATCGGCGATGCATCAGCGGTGCGGCGCGATCCTCCGGCCCCGTCTGCTCCGACCCCATCTGGAAGGCCTGGACCTTTCGAGTGCGCGACTTCTGTAGGGGACCACAAGCGAACCATTCCCCTACCTCCCACGATTTCTGTGGGGGAGGGTGGGGTTCCTTTCGTTTGAGAGCCCCCGAGCGAAGTGAACCCCACCCTCCCCCTCAGAAATCGTGGGGGGTAGGGGTAGGGTTCGCGTGTGGCCCCCTGAAGTTGTCTGCGTCCTCGGGGCAGGCTTGGAAAACTGGAGGAGGAGGAGGAGGAGGGAGAAGGAGGAGGAGGAGGAGGAGGAGGAGGAGGAGGAGGTCCCCAGACTATTTTTTGACTATTTTTGAATGTTCCCCCTGTAGAGGGACAGGCCCGACTTAATGCTACCGCATCGCATTCGGCCACCTGGGGACCGCAGTTCGGGCGTTGGCAGAGCTTGGTTCAGTGAGACCTGGTGTAGTGATGTGTACTGGGAAGCGCCCCCCCCCCCGCTCCGTTCCACGAACCGGAACTGCCGTCACCCGAATATCACCAGCTACGGCAGACCTGGTTTAGTGACTCTTGCCCAGTTAGGGGCTCTGGGGCCCTACCACTAACCGGGTCCCCTTACCTGGGGTCCTGGCTATACCCGACCAGTGTGCCCGCACCAGAGGTCGCTCCAGCGAGAGGTCACCCTTACGAGCAGCAGACCACCCCCCCTGAAGCAGGGACTGGCCGCACTGGCACTCCTAGAGGCCTCCCACGACGTGCTCTTACAGTGGAGGCCAGTCCACAAGAAACCTTCCACAAGAACCCCAACCCTGAGACCCCAGGACGTCCGTTGATTTTTGGTGTTGGAGCGTCACGCCATCCACCGCAAAACCATCGAAACCCAAGAAACCCAGGGCACCCTGGAGGCAAGCAGGGTGCTTCTTGGCGTGGGCCCTCGCTGTAGAACACAGGAGGAGTGCCCCAGCCCTGGCTCCTGATCCGCCGTACTTTGGATGATTTTCCGACCTAAAATTGCATCGGAAATCGACGCCAAAGGAGCCTCAAGGGCGGAAATCGACGCTCAAAGGGGCCTCAAAAGTAGGGCGGAAATTTCCGCCCTACTTTCGAAATCGCCCAAAGTAGGGCGGATCAGGAGTCAGGGTAGAGCATGAGGCCAGCGCGTGAAAAGAGCAAGACGGGCTTGGCCAGAGATGCTCCGGGAGCGCGTCGCGCAGGCCACGGCAGGCTCTGAGGACGTGCCGCGGTGGACCTCTGGGCAGGCCAGGACGCCTCGCCACGGCTGGGGCCCACAGCTCCTCGGCTCCAGGAGATCTCGGCCTCCCTGCGATGCACAGCTTCGGGTGGCGCTTTGTCCTCCATTCCTCCTCCCCCCCTCCCTCCATCATCCCTCCTCCCTCCTCTGTTTCTTCTTCCTCCATTCCCCCATCCTCCTCCATTTCGTCGGCGGCTTTGAGCCCATACCTCATACGTCTCGCTGGATCGGGCCAGAGGCGCGCTAAGATCTCCGGCATCTGCGTGCAGCATTTCTACTCCGCGCCCGCGGGGCGGCCCCTGGGGGTCCCCGGACGAAAAGCACCCCGGGCGGGCCCCGGCTGGTTCGGGTCAGAGATCGCCGGCCGGGTCGGGTCGGGTGGGCGCCGACCTCGAGGCCCTCCAGAAAGCCCCAAGAAGGGCCAAGAGGCCCCCAAGAAGGGCCCCAAGTTAGGAGGGCTCCGAGATGCCACAACATCGCTCCAAGATGCCCCGAGAGGCTTCCAAAAGCACTCCCAAGAGGGCCCCAAGAGGTAAAATGTAGTGATATCTCATGGGTTTTGGACAGATTTGGGCGTTTCCCCCTCTTCGGCTTCCCGACGCCTCAAGACGGCCCACGAGGTCCCCAAGATCGCCCCAAGAGGGTCCAAGAGGCCCCTAAGAGAGCCCCACCGGACCGCCCACGACGACTCCAAGACGGCCCAAGAAGGCCCCAAGAGAGGCCCCAGAGGGAGAACACGAGACAACATGTCGAGCCCTCGGCCACAAGCAGTCCCCAGGAGGTCCCCAGAGGTCCCTCAGAGGCCCCAAGAGGCCCCCAACAGGCGGTCAGGAGGCCGCCAAGAGGCCCCCAAGAGCCCAAGAGCTTCCTGTGCACTGACCCCCTGCGCGCGAAACTGGGCCGGCAGAATGAGCGAAGCGATTCAACACTCTTCATGAGAATCGGCGGATTGCCAAACACTTGCGCCGCTCGTGCATTGCGTGGGGTGTCTCGGGGCTGCATGCAAGCACTCCTCCAGCAATAACGTCACGAACATAATCCCAAAAAGAACGCATTGCTAAACATTCGACTTCTCGACTTCCAAGCTGCTCCGGGCCCTCACTGGGTAAAACTTAGCACATGTTGCGGTGAGCAGTGGAAGAAATAGCGAGCTGGCCAAACAGAGTCCAAGCGTGTGCAGACATATTCCCTCAGAGCCTACGATGTGATTAGTTTCCCAACATCGTAAAACAACATTGTTTGTGTTAGTATGACGTCTCCGCCTCCTCACCGGCCTTCTCCCTTCCACTCTTAGACCCACTGGTACTCAGAATCACTGACAGTCAGGCCCACTCACGTTCGTACTCACTAATACGCAGACTCACTGACAGACTCACTCATGATCAGACTCACCCACACTCAGACTCACTCACAATCAGACTCATATTCTGAACTACACAAACTCAGACCACTTACACCCAATATCCACTAGTGCCGAGACCCACTCATCCTCTTATTCGGTCATGATCAGACCACTCAGACTCTGATCTGCTCATATCTGGCTTAGCCATACTCTGACTCAGACACAAAGACCGGTCACACTCTGATCAGCCACACCCAGTCTCGCGCTCCCAGACCGCTCACGCCCAGAAACACCCCATATTCGGCCCAATCACACCTTGTCCATGCTGCGCCACTCAGCCTCAGACCCACCCACACGCGCTACTCCTACTCAGACTCGCCCATGCCCACCCCGATGCAGCAGGCGTGGCACCTGGGCACCCCAAAAGAGGAGCAGCCCGGGAGAGGCCACTTGCCCGTTCGCGGTCAGGCTGTGGGAATATATCGAGTGAGAGCAGGCAGGTTGTGGGGATGTCTCGAGTGAGAAACAC